ATTAGGAGTCTCCTAACCATGTTGCTCTATCCTCATTCCTGTAAGTATGCCCTTGGCCACAGGCAAAATTTCTGGTGCAGTGGCCAATGGCCTCTCAATGCTTTTGATGCTGTGGATTGCTTGAAGCTTGCAGTTCTGCTGAAGGCTCTTGGATGTGGTTATTCCTTTTGGATATAAGGAGACCTCTTTCTCTGGAAGACACATTTGTTTTGGTAAATGAACACAAGTTTTGTTACCCCCCTCTGGGGTGTTCTACATGACTGTGCTGGATTGGGCTAGGGGAGGATTAATTTTCTTCACAGTGGCTGGTATGGGGCTGTGTTTTGGATTTGTGCTGAACACAGGGTTGATAATATAGAGATGGTTTTGTTATTGCTGAGCAGGGCTTACACAGAGCCAAGGCCTTTTCTGCTTTTTGTGAGGCTGGTGAGGAAGCTGAGGGTGACTGGGAGGTTGGGAGGAGACAGGTGACCCCAACTGAACAAAGAGATGTTCCAGACCATATGACATCATGCTCAGTATATAAAGGTGGGGGAAAGAAGGAAGAGGGGGGAAGGAGGAAGGAGAAAGAGAAAAAAAAAGGATCACATTTGGAGTGATGGCATTTCTCTTCCCAAGTCACTGTTACATGGGATGGGGCCCTGCTCTCCTGGAGATGGCTGAGTTCCTGCCTGCCCATGGGAAGCAGTGAATTAATTCCTTGTTATTCTTTTGCTTTCTCTATTAGACTGTCTTTAGCCCAGCCCATGAGTTCTCTGCCTTTTATCCTTCCAGTTCTCTCCCTGATCCCACTGGGGTGGGTGTGAGTGCGTGGCTGTGTGGGGCTCAGCTGCCTGCTCGGGTGAAACCACAACAATGACTCCAGCTTAGGTCTTAATTTCATCTGATTTTTAAGTGGTTTGTATGCCTAGTCAATACCTTACTATCTGTCCTCAGAGGGCAATAATATTTATTAATTAACTTGAAGATGCTATCAAACGACTTGAGTTTGAAAATACAGAGACAGACCATGCCATTGGCTTTATTGGTGTCAGGCAACAGAGCAGTATTTTGGCAAACATCACAGCATATAAGCAGAAATAAGTGCACAAGAAGAAAAATAAGGAGGCTACAGGGTTATTTTCTAGTTGCCAGTAACAATCCTGACATTCTGTAGCCTAATTCTCACTTTTCAGTTTATGCTCTTGACTTAGGAAGCATTTGTGATGTTTAGAGCTCATGAACAATACTTACCTGCACATAATTTAAAAAGATGCAATGAACTTCCTGTTAACCAGCCAGGTCAATACTGAATGCAATACCCTCCTTGCTTGCTGCTCCTCTGAGCACTCTGAGCAGCAGCTTGATGCTGCCTGTTGCACAGACTCCTTTGCATGCAAGTACAGAAATTAGATATGTCTCACCTTGTCCGCAGTGGTGGCTGGTTGTAAATAAGTCACCATCACCCAGGTGCCAGCACAGTCCCTCATGGATGAGGCTCTCCTAGAGCCACTGAAGCTCTCTGCAGAAACCAATGCATGGCACCCAGAGAGCCTTACACAACTCTGATCCACACTGAATCACAGATGCTGAGCTGGAAGGAACCCACAGGGATCATTGGGTCCAGCTAGGGAATGTCACTGGGGAAGCACCTTTGGCGTGCACAGACACCACAGAGTCTTGGAGAGATGAGGATTTGTCTTTAAGAGACCACTATCAGCCAAAGGCTGGCATTGGCTTTACCTGTACACACAGGTAAGTCCCATTGATACCAGCTGGAGATCCTCAGTATTTATGCAGCTTCTAAAGTGAGGCCACTTCTGGAGATGTTTTAACCTGGAATCACATTTTAGAGATCTGGTTTTGAAAGGTGGGAAGCAAGTGAACTCACTTTTATCCAGGCAAGACTGTAGTGGAAATAGAGGGATGTGCTGCACTCACAATTACATATTTGCAGCAACACAGCACTGTGTGTGGCAGTAGGATGGCTTTTAGACTTTCTGGACCTTAGGTGCTTTTTGCTCCTAAACCCATTAAAAGCCTATTTACTGAAGCAGCCCATGAGGCAAACATCAGACACACAGAAACAACAACTGAAGTGAGAGAGACCCTCTGAACTCTATGAAATATTTACAAACAGCTTCAGGAGCCCTGGGATGAAGTGAAGTACTTTCAAGCAGAGAGAGAAAACCTAATGGATATAAAAATCCTTTTTTAGCTCTCGGTGAGATTTGTTTTCAAAGACCTAGCTATGATATGAGGAAATGTATTAGCTCATCCAGTCTGCCTCCTCCTGCTCCAGGAGAGAAGTAGTCTCAGTGCTATATTTTATAACACTTGGCTCAGCCCAGCTCTGCCTGACTCAGACAAAATAAACCAAACCCTCTTCTTGGGAATCTTCTCAGTTTTTCGAAGTATTTCACTTTGTGCAATTTTCCCCAGTGTTCCACCCAGAACAATTCAACACAGTATGCATAAAGACACTTTGATGTCATGATCATCATGCTGTTGACTTCATATTTATCCCCTTAGACAACCCTAAATAACTTCCCAGCCAGTGTGGTGGTGATGTCCCTCTAACATCTGTCTAGAGTTATGCTCCTCCCCATTTGAACACATTATTGCTGTGCTCTGCTGTGACTGAGCCTTCACAAGAAATTCTTTCAGATGTTTTCCTGTCTGTTCCTTCCTCCTTGTACTCAAGACACTATTACTATTATTATTATTATTATTATTATTATTACTACTACTACTACTACTACTACTACTACTACTACTACTACTATTACTACTACTATTACTATTACTATTATTACACTTGAGGAAAAGGACAAGGAAAAAAAAGAAGTGAAAAGACAAAAGCACCTTTTTCATGCTACCCCAGCTGTACAGGCACAGAAAGATCCATTTGAGATACCTGGCCTTCACACATAATTCAAGTTTTACCTCTAGGATTTATGATAAGGGTATTGTTCTAATTTCTGCTTTCTCTTACTTGCCTCGTGCTTAAGTTTTTATTAGAACCTTTGAATTTTCCATTGTTGTTTGGACAGTTTAGAGAAATGATGCTGCACCTACAGGAGGTTAACCAGGAAGAGTTTCTGCTCTTACACAACTCAGTATCAAGATGATGAACAGAAAATGTCTCCTTGAAGGATTTTCTTTTCAGAATCTACTGCCAAAGGACTGTAGAAGAAGTTCCACACCCAGTTACAGAGGAGAACTGAATTTAAGGAAATTGATCTGAGATCCCCATAGCATTTCTTTTCCTTGCATATTATCCTTTCTGCTTTAAAAGAAGGAACACAAAACACAGTCATTCCCTCATCAAAACAGCCTTTCAAATTTGTGAATCTTTTCAAAAACATAAAATCATAAAACATTAAATTTGTAAATCTTTTCAGTCTTTGTTGATTGTTTTTTTTAAAATTATCCTAAAATAGCCTTCAAACACAAAGTAGTAGAGGAAGAAGTACACAGATACTTCAAATTTTCAAAAGTATTTATAGTTTAAGAAATAACTGTGATTTTTTTTTTACTTTCTGACCAAACCAAGACTTTTTTCAGCATTTGACATTTTAAACATCTAACGTAAAGCAGCAAGGTAACATAGCACACCTTATCTTATGCTTATCTTATGTGTTAAAAATGTCCTCAGCTGTTGCACAGAACCATGTCTCTGAACCAACAGAGCTCCAAGTGCAACCCAGGAGCCAGACTAAGCTGCCCATGGCAGGGTTCTCCTGGGGTGAACTCCCAGCCTGGAAGCAGCTTAACCTCATGACGCTGTTCACCAAGTGATCATTATTCTAATTTTACTCTTGGGGAAGCAAAGGCAAGCGAGACAAAGCATTTATCTAAAACCTTAGAGAAATTCAGGTGCATTTCACCCTGAGCTGTGCAAACCCAGCATGCTGTTTTAATAAGTAGAACAGACTCTTTCCACATTAGGAGAAACTTTGTTCAAGTTATTACTTTTCTGAGCAGAACACAGATATTTCAACACGCTGCCAGAAAGCAAGAGTGAGGATTTTTTTTTTCTTTCCACCATTACAAAGTACAGTCACATGCAAGTGAGCTTCTGCCTGTCTGCAGGGTTTGCAATAGTAAAGAGGTTCTGGCAATAGCTGCACTCCCTATAGGATATATACAGCAACTGGGTCAGCCTGTTTACAAAATAGCTTGTGATTATCACAGCAGTGCTCAGCAGCTATGAATACATCATACCAGAGTCTAATTAAAGACAGGCATAGCTACAGCACTGCAAAATAAAGAAACAGGGGCACTTAATGAAGCTGCCCAGGATTGGGAAGAGGTTAGTTTTTACTCTCAGTTAGCCCCTTGGTGGTCAGCTAACCAGGTTTATTTCGATCAAGAATTAAAACAGACTTCTTGTGAGGGCAGTCAGTTCATTTCCTCAGGAAAAGAGGGAATTTTGTAACAAGACACATCAGTTTCAATGGTGAAAAAAATCATTTTAAGGGGAAAACTGAAAATAAAGATCTAGTTGAACTTGGTAATTTGTACATAAAATGTATGTACATAAAACACCATTATACCAATAGTTGTATAAAACATAAATGTTCCTATCCTCACCCTTCAGAATGTGGCCAGAACTCTCCTGCCTCCCCTAAGTACTCCTACTGCATTATACCTGCTGTGATGCTTCAGGATTGACTCCCAGTCTGTCTAGTCCCTGTGATTCATGAAATGCAGTCTTCTTCAGGCCATGCCTATTACTAAATGACAGAGCACGGGTTAGAAGGGAGGTAGGAAACTGCTTATTTCTATCCCAGCTATGGAAAGAAGGCTGTATTTTCTGGAACAAAATAGTTATGCTAATGCTCCCAGCAAGCAATGGATTATACTAACACTAGGATATGCTCCAATACTGGCTGAGTCATCATTATTTTAGGCTGAAGACTTAGGGGAAGGGAAACAACCATTTTTGAAAAGACCAAATTCTAGCAAAATAGTATTACAGAAGAAAAATCATGAAAAAGTAGGCAGAGCAACCTCTCTTGTAGTTATACTTTTTCAGAAAGCGGTTGTTCTTTATTTTCCTCCATCCATTTGCTTTTGTAAATGCTGCACAAAAAAGGTGAAAATCAATGATTCAGTCCATTTGTCTCACATCTCCTACTTCACAGGCACTTCTATCAGTTCCATCATGTTGCACAAGTATTTTATATATTGCTATAAGTTACTCATAACCAAGTTTAAGGCCATTCATACTTCCTTTACAGACCCACAATTCCCTTTTTGATGCACACACACTTTTTGGTCCCTTGCATGTTTACATTGTGAAAGCTTTAAGAGTTTTGCAGCACCAGAAGAGATGGTTTTGATTTTTCATCTGAAATAGCAGGGAAAACATTTTTATTTATCTTAGATTTAATTTTAGAAGGCATCAAGAGCTGCGCAGAGCTGCTGCAGTAGCTCTGCGGAAGAGGTTCAGAATGGATCCTTCTTTTCACTCCTCACACTCCTAACCAGAAAGTGTCAGGCAGCAGCAATTTTTCTACTTGGGTGGTTCTCTTTCCTGCCCAGAATGTGAGTCCATGGTGCCCTTCTTCCAAAGGTGAGTTCAAGGGAGGCAGACCCTTCCCCTCAGCTGCATGCTCATGTCCCAGGAACCACAAACTTCCTGGTGGGCCACGACAGGCTCCAGGTACTTCAGTACCAGACAGGTCACAACCCACAGACAACACACGCAACACAAAAATGGCTTAAGCACATTACAGTTGAGCAAAAGCTCCAAGTTACTAATAGAATTTTAAATTAGAATAAGAAACTTACCACTGCAGTACAGAGCAGTGCATATAAAATATTAACTTCTACAGCATCTGTTTGACTGTGGTGAGAACTCAGGTGCTTCTCCCACAACACTGCAGATTTCCTAAAATCAGCTCCTCTTAGAACTTAGAAAAGCAGGTAACACGAAGTAAGGACACTGAACAAGAACCACGCAGCTCACCAGAAACACCTTTTAACACAATCAGTACCTCTTTAATTAATAACTTTGGTGAGGTAGAGCTGTTGAGCTGTTACAAATTTATGTAGATCCACCAATGATTAATATTAGCAACCAAAGGAGCCTAGTGATAAAACCCCTAATGAAAATGTTGATTATCTTAGGTAGTGCTTCATACATGTCTTCCAAGCAATCAGAATAAGTTTACTGTAAAAAATATTTAAAATTGAATTATTGCATATAATAGTTCCATTGTTATATGGATTTAGTTAACATTTCAGCCTCTTCTGTTGTAGCACCTAAAAGTTTAGGGTACAATGAGAGTGCTGTGGGCAGGCAGTGGTTTGGGAAGTATTGTTGAGTGAAAAGCACAGAACAACAGGATGCAACAGCAACTTAAAAAAACTTAAAAACTTTTAAAAACCTTGAAAAAATAGCACTAGAGTTACCTGAAATGAAACTAATTATAACAGGTAAAGGTAAGATTGACAAGCAGCTGCAGCAGCAGGAATCCTTGTTTTTTTGTGGCCACACATAAAACAGTATTGATATTAATACAAGTAAAACAGACAATGAAAAGCAAACAATTTCCAGATCAAGAAAAACTGAAACAGCTACAGGTGGTTTCAAGAAAAACACTGAGCACTTTTTCTTTTATTACTATGCTGCAATATACAGTATATTTGAAGTATAGAAATTCAAAACCAGTAAAACTTCAAAGAGCCAAGTGCATTCCCAGGGTGGAGTCCACAATTTCACAGCGTGTTTCCTGTGCCCCACACACAGCCCACATGCCAAGCCTTCTCCAGCCATTCCCCAGCATTTCCAGAGCAGTCAGTTACACTGTTCAAGCAGCACTATTTCTTCTTGAGAGCTCTCTTTCCTTCCCCCTTCTTTGGTTTTTCCTTCCCACGGAGCTTTTTCAATCGCCTCATCTCCTCCTTGAAGTCCTGATGCTCATCCCTAGGTGAGGAAGAAGGAATAAAGTTTACTCTTTTTCTTGGGATCCAGAGATACCAATAGTTCTTTGAACTATATCCTAATAAAAAAAACCAAAAAACAAAACCCAAAAAAAAAACCCCAAAAAAACCCCCCAAAAAAACCAAACAAAAATCAAAACTTTTTAAACCATGAAGTCCATACTGAAGCTTGCTGCAATGTTACTGCTGGCAGTATCACTGACAGATTTCCTCTGATACTTTCAGAACTAACAGGGTTGTCCTTTTCAGCAACAAAGGATGTGTGCAAATGTGTATTATTTCAATTGCATTTTTTGATTCCCTTTGCTTAAATGAGCAGTAAAATGCAAAAATCAGCAAGAGACAAGAGTAAGATTTTCCCCCTTGTTATCCAGCCCAGCAGTGCAGCCAGAGCACACTGTGTTCCTGTGTTCAGGTCATTAGCTCCTAGGGAAACAGGGCCATGCTGAGCAGTAATTACAGCACATGGCACTACTCTCAGGTGACTTCAGGAATGACTTATGAAGATGGCATCAGTACTGGGAGAATCTTAATAAGAGAGTAAAATAGGAAGGAGGATGAAGGGGCTGGCAGGGATAATCAATTCTCAGTCACTTTCTAATAAATTCTATTAATCTGTCCCTGTATTTTTTTAGTGCAAAGTGATTTTCAAAACTCATAACTGCATTCTATGTGGCCTAAGATTGCTGCACTGCTATTTTTAAACACAACTTCTCTAAATAGAAACAAAAAGCTTGTGATTTATTACCGGCCCCATTAGTCTATGATTCTTCATTACACTTTTTTTTCTTCTACCAACTCTCTGTATACAGCTAGAGAAGGAACTTAATAGGGGAAGGAGAAGAGTAAAGAACATTAGCATCACATTGAGGCTTTCTGTGTAAACAGCCAGTCTAGGAAGTGTTGGCACACCTACCTATAGCAAGAGCATCCAGGATGCAATCCTTGATGGTTAGTATTGTCATACTAGCAACAAGTAATCTGTTTTGACTATACAGGGTTTGCAGCCTCACTTTTAAAGATTTTTTTAGAGCTACCTGATTGAAGTGAAAGAACTGCATTTGACTCCTGCTGATGTTCTTCAGCAGTACAATTCTCCCTGATACAGACTGTGTGAGTTAATTTAGAAATTAGACAACTGGTTTGGATGAAGTGGGAATTAACAAGACTATTTAAATCTCATTTGAATTTAACTTAATTTATTTTGAAGAATAAAAAGGCCCTCTGGCCTAACAGAGACTTTCTGTCTCTTCTAAATTTCACTTATTAGCGGTTGAATGACAGAAATATATGGTAAGTCTGGTGTTAACATCACCTCTTTGTATCACATTCATTTGCCATATTCAGAACTACAGATGCATCTCTTGTCTATCAGAAAGGTTTCTTTTCTCCCCCACAAAGCAAAAGCAGGAATCATTTCTTAGGTAAATGCTTGCACAACTAAACCTCCAGTCTTTCTCATGAAAGGTTCCAATTATGATAAAAGTTAGACAGCAGTCACTTTTGTTCTCCTTGCCCTAAGTGCCAACAATCAAGTGCCTACTTCCATATGCACCATATTCAGAAGGGAACACTTCCCTTGGGGAAAACTGTCGCTGTGTCCTCTTTGTGACCATCTGGTCACTGCCCGGCCAGCCCCAACGTGTTTTTATTGCCTTTGTTCCCTTTCTGTCATGATTTGATCTGTGTACCCCATTCTCCCCAGGTCACTGCCCGGCCAGCCCCAATGTGTTTTTATTGCCTTTGTTCCCTTTCTGTCATGATTTGATCTGTGTACCCCCATCCTCCCCAAACAGTTGTCCTAAGTTGCTTCCCTTCTCCCCCATGTCAATCCTCTAATTTCTGCTGATTCATTCCCCAATCTCCTCCCTGGACCCCTGTCAATCACTTGGCCTCCCATCCCCTCTTTCTAGAACCTTCCAGCAGGGGCATCGAGTGATTGGTTGGAGGTCGGGGCCCTCCTGCAAAATTTTCCCCAATTCATCCCCCCCCCCCCCCCCCATGTCTATCTCCCTGGTTTCCACACCCCAAGTTCTCCCCACTGGTTGTTCTGTGAATCCCTCCCTTGTTTCCACCCCCCTGACAACAACTGGAACGAGACTCCCACCCACCCCCTTCCCATCTCCAAGCTGCTCCCACCCTCCAAGCACCTGTAGAGCCCAAAGTAGCGGAGTTTCTTCATGAGGGCGTAGTAGGTGTTGTGAGGGGGGTACCAGTTGTGCACCTCGTCCCTCTTGGCCAGGGGCTGCTCGCTGAACAGCTTCACCACCTTCATGGATTTGGAGTCCGTGGGCCTGACCACGTCGCCGAATATCTGGGCACTGAGGCGGGCCATGCGCAGGGCGTAGCTGGAAACGTTGGACATCTCCCCAGGAGCAGTGGGCACACACAGACTGATGGACCTTCCTGCAAAGGCAAACAGCAACAGCTCTTCACCCAGCTCAGAGCAGAACCAGCTACCCCAGAATTAGGGCAAACAAAGGAATGTATCACACACTGAGCACTCATCTGACATCACACGTTCCTTGCATAAAATCAGTCTAATACTTCAGCATGTAATCCTGCTGATAAAGAACATCTACATGAATTCATGCCACAGACATGTTTTATGAAAAATCCTTTCCTTAGGATTTTTTTCTCCTGAGAAGCTGAGAAGCCTCAGGAACAAATGTAGACAATGATTATCTGCTGCTGTGGAATGCAACAGGTGCATCTGTGATTGGTCTCATGTGGTTGTTTGTAATTAATGGCCAATCACAGTCCAGCTGTCCGGACTGTCTCAGTCAGTCACAAGCCTTTGTTAACAAATTCTTTTGCTATTCTTAGCTAGCCTTCTGATGAAATCCTTTTTTCTATTCTTTTAGTAGAGTTTTAATATAATATATATAATGAAATAATAAATCAAGCCTTCTGAAACATGGAGTCAACATTCTCATCTCTTCCCTCATCCTAAGACCCCTGCGAACACCACCACAAATTCAGGGACAATTCCCAGCCTACAGACAGCAATACCAACTATAGAAGTGCACTGCACCACAATTTACCATGGCTAGCATGGTTTATTAGCAGAACTCAGCTTGCTCAAGACAACCCTTAAACCCCATCCACTGGAACAATTACAGTGTGAGCTCTGCCAAAAATTGCACCCGTGTGATACCACTGACTGCTCCACAAGCACAGGGTAAGGCACCACTTGAACATACAGAGAAAATGACCTGGGAAGTTTTTCCTCATGGAAGTTTCTCACCCTATTTAAAACATTGTTATAATCCATGGAACAATGGACTATAAACAAATCATGTTTCTCTATATGAATCACACAGATCTTTCCCATGTCAATTCCCTTCTCTTGATCATCTCCATCAGCTTTTTCTCCATTCTCTTTTCAGTCTCTCATGATACCTATTCTTTTTAAGAGGAAACAGTAGTTTTCCCATGCCAGATTCTTTTTTCCAAGAAAATCAATCAGCAGCTTCCCACTCTCTTTTAGTCATCTCTCACCTAAAACTTCTGCAACAAAAATGCCCCAAAGACAAAACCATAGTTAATTAGGCCACCAGACAACATCCACTCTGCTAAAGTAGCATGAGAAGGGTTTTCTCTCAGCTTTTCTGACCCTCCCCATTTTAAGTCTTCTTTACTCTTTCTTCGCAGAATGGTTGTAGTAGACAAGAATAGGAATCCCATAATCCTGTATCTGAAGTAGTATCTTGTCTGTACTTGGCCTTTTTGAATGACTGATAACATAAGTCTTCAGACAAATTCAAGAGCATGACACTGAGGTTAAAGTTTAAAAATTTTGTTTTAAAAAGTATTGCATAGCTGATTGCAGAATGAGCATAACAAATTAAAGATCATGGATAAGAGCAATCATCAGGACAGTGCTAAGCCCACTTCAGTATGATTACACAGAGCCTGTTGTTTAATAACACAAATTTGGAGTATTCATAACCTCACATACATATATCTGCTCATTGGAGGACCTGCTTTGATTTACTCCTGTTAGCAGAGCACTCTAAAGGAAGCAGGAAAAAAATCAAGCATGAAAATAATACAAGTAATTTTGAGACAAGAGAATAATGGTGAAAGTAACAAAAGGGAAGGCAAAGCATCAGAGACCTCGAGCCTAGTGTGAGAACACAGAAACTCTTAAATGATTGCAGGGCAGCACTTCAACATGAGCATCTATTACAGGGGGAAATAATCACTAAATTTTGCTAAAACATCTCTTTCAGAACAGCCAGCTCTAATTCCTGCATTCAGAGACAAAGAAACAAGTTTTCCCCCAAACTCTTCATCACAGGACTCCAAAAGTCTGTCTTTATCACCAGACTCAAACACACAACTTGCTTAATCTCTGCTTACTGCAGCTTTAAAATGAAAATACCTTTAGCTCCTGAACAATGCAAACCTGTGGTGTGAGGAACCTGATTTCACTCCTGACTCGCTAAAGAATTGTGACAGCCCAAGCTGAGGCTGGAGACCTCCATTAATGCTTGCCCGACTAAGAACGCTTGGGAGTGAAGCAAAGCAAATGCTGCAGACTCCCAAAGCTATCCAAAGCCTGTTCTAGGGTGATTCTGTGAGATGTTACATCCGTGAGACGAAAGAATACTTTCATTATGGTCACTTCCAGCAATGACATCTCCAGAATCGCCCACTCGGAGCTGGCACACCTAAAGCAAACCCAGCGCTCCGTGCTGCCGCTCCACAGCTCCCAGCTCCCTGCTCCCGCCCTGGGCTGGCTCATTCTTTATTCCCGATCCACCCGCTTGATTCGGAGCGCTCTCTTCTCACTGGGAACATGCCAGGAGAGCGCTCATTCCCCCAGGAGCACGGGGGGAAGACCAGGCCGCCACGGAGCTCAACCAGCGGCGGGCGCGGCTCCGCCTCAGGCCGGGCCGGCCCCACTTCCCTGAGGCACGGGAGCGCCGGGACGCGGCCAAGAGCTGCGGCTCCCGGGGACACGGCCCCGCCCGGCAGCCCGGAGCCCGGCAGCCCAGAGCCCGGCACCTCCGTTCGGCCCCGTTCGGCCCCGCTCACCCCGCGCTGGGCCGCGGCCGGAGGAGCGGCGGCGCTGCCGGAGCGGAGGTGGCGCACACGGGTGACGCGAGGGGCGGGACGGACGGCCCAGGGAGGGACCTTCCTCTTCCTCCTCCTCCTCCTCCTCCTCTCCCTCTGCTGTTCGTCCCCCTTCTCCGCCCTCCTTGGAGCTCGTCAGGTGCTGTCCCCGCGGTCATAGAGCCGCGGAATCACAGAATATCCTGAGCTGGAAGTGACCCTCAAGGATCACACCACGAGAGGCCCACACCCTCTTGCGCCAAGAGCAAAACCTTTTCGTTGTGACTCCTTTTCTTTCATTTGTTTCCCTCCCTATTGTAAGCAGCTTTGCAGTTATATGCATAAATCTAATAAGGAAATGAGAAAAGTGGTTATCCTCGTGAAAAATGCGTATTTTACGATTGGCTTTTCGCAAATATTAAAATGAATATTATACGTGTTGTGTTAGAAAGTAATGCTGTATTAATTCTCTTAAGTAGTGTGTTAAATATAGTTTTGGGTTATAAAAAATGTTAAAATAGAAACTATGCTATGTGGATATATTTTTTAAAGAAAGGACTCGCAGCAAGATAGAAGCCACGGGACACCTAAATCTTTCAGAGAAAAAGAATTTATTGCTCTCTTATCAGAAGAAATGAACTTCTTCCCGCCTCGAAGGCACTGTCAGGATTCAGAGGAAGAAGTTGACAATGACCAGACAGAATCCTGTATTTGAATGGAATTTATACATCATGTATGAGGTGTATGAATATGCAACAGGCTGTTGTTTTTAAGGGTTAAGCCTCTGTTAATGGGTGTCCTTTTTCGGGCTCATGCTGCCCAGAAAAAGGTACCCAGATGTCCATAACTCTTTGTCTCTATTGTCTCATATTGTCCTAATTCAAATTGTCTAAATTATTATTACTCTAATTGTATTTTAAATTTTTAAAATTATTTAAATTTTAAAAACAAGTGATTGGCGTTTTTCACATCCTCATTAAAAGGATGACAAGTCTACATAGAGCCTTTTTCTTTGGTTTTGCCAGGGAAGGGTGGTGTGAGATGTCCACACTGACATGTCCAGTCAGCAGCCTCACTCCATGAGAACATGTGCTCAGGTTAATAAAACCAAGCTGGCTTTACTCTTGGGAGAAGGCATGAGTTTACATGAAGAGCTGGAAGGCAGGTGTCTTCACTCTTGACCAGGCTGCAAACTGGGATTAATGTCAAAATTTAGTTTTACTGAAAAGCAATGAAAGGGAGAGTTCGGGAGCCACAAATGTTTGTCATTCACTGTGTTTCCAAACCACTTTGAGAGATTGTGTCTCTACTCCAAATTCAGGGCTCCTGTGCTCCTTGCCAGTCCTTACTCTCATTACTTCCATCCTGCTGCTTGTTTTCAAAGATAGTTATTCAGCTGCATAAATATATCTCCCTTGGCAAATTCACCTGTGCAATCTCAGTCTTTCAGCACTGGTATCCTCTTGGTCTCTTGCTGCTGGTGAAGGTGGTGAGCTGGTCACTCACCTTTGTGCCCCAAACCTGGGGTGGGATGTGTGCCCAGGGGAGCCCCTGAGGTCTGGGGATGGGCAGCTGACCCTGCCACGCTTCCCCTGGCACCTCTCTGGCTACTGCCAATCCCACTGGAGATGAGCTTTCCCAGTGCTTGATTTATGCTAATTTTTAATCAGTGCCAGGAGGTGCTAAATCAGACTCTCTGCAAACATCTGAGTAAATGACAATTATGTGATTGCATTTATATGCCAAACGTGTAATGCCATCGAAGGAGCAAATTGGGTTTGTCTGGCTTGCCCTGTTTTCTAGAAGAGCATATTCTGCCAAGCATTGAATAAATAGTTATTCTGTCATCCTTTCTTAATTAATTTTCTGTCACCTTTTCCATGCTTGTCACAGGCAGAGCAGCCTCATGGCCTGGGCAAGCCAGTCCTCTTTCTTGTCCTTTTTGAATATTGGCATGATCCTCTAATTTCCTTTATATTCCTGATCTAGTGGAAGGTGTCCCTGCCCGTGGCAGGGAGGGGTTGGAACTAGATGATATTTAAGGTACCTTCTGACCCAAGCCTTTGTATGATTCTGTGATTATTAAGAATTAACATTCATGGAATTTCTTTAGCCAGTTATTCAAACACTGTCATATGAAAGTTCTGTAGATATTCTAATTTTAAAATGTTTGCTCTAGTAGATCTTGCCAACCATTTTCATTACTGACTAATGGATGGAAAAGTACTTATTTTTTCTTTTTTTTTTCCCTGCAAGATAAGAAAAGTGTCTTTTCCTTAATATTTCTAAGGAGGAAATAGAGTTTTTTAGCATTTCTGCCACTTCTGTGCTATTTTACCATCTCTAGACATACACATCAGCATTATTGCTCCCCTCAATTTACTGTTTGTAGTCACACCATTTATGCTTTTTCTGTAGTCTTCATTTTTTGTATTAACAGAACATTTTTTCCTATATTTTTGCCTTTCTACGTTGTTCTATACCATGCTTTTAACTTCTGAGTGTTTCCTTCACCCTACTGCTGAAGGACAAAGTTGTCCTTCAGCCAAAATTGGCCATTTTGTTAATTAAGCAATCATGACTTTATGGAGTAAGATCATAAGTATTCTCATTTACATGTCTATCTCTATTTTTGAATCGCAATTTTCTCGTCATTTCTCCCATCTTGATGGAGAAGGTCTCTCTGAAGCATCTGTGTGTGTGTGAGGGGAGAAGGAGAGACAATTTCCCTCACTGGGACTGTCCTTTTTATAACAACTGTCCTTGCTATAATCAAATTATGATTGCTGGCTCCTAAACAAACACCCCTTTTTGTTCCATGATTAAGTTGTTTAAACATTGAGTAAAAAATACTCCTTCCATGCAGGCTGGCTTAATGTCTGTCACAGAAAAGAAGTTTTTGCAAGGTGTAATGAGGCTTTTTCCTCACACAGCTTCAAACTGAGCACACTTCTGGTTCACTGGAGGGATCAGCAGCCTGATTCTCTGCAGCCAGCCCCACTCCATTCCACCCCTCCTCAACAGCATTAGTTGGAACAAATTACTGTCTCTGCATCTCTAAAATAATGATGGTGGCTTTGTATGCACTCTTACCTTCTCAATCTTCAAATTTCTTTATTTATGTTAAAGGATTGGGGCAAACTATTTTAATATTGCATTTTGGTAAATCATCCTGCCTGATTCAGTAGTTACATCAGTTCAATCTCATTCCTCCTCATCAATGAAAATATTTTACTTACATGTTCCCCACACTCTGAAAACTGGCATATGGACCACTGGAAAACATCTTCCTCTTTCCCTCAAAATATTGTTGCTGCCTATACTTGCAGGCTCCAGCATGGCCTGTTTGGTGTGGTGGAAGCACAAACATGAAAAGGTCTGCATTAGTTAAATATTTCTGCCTTTTTGCTCAGTTGTTTCTCCTGTCAGCCATTCCTGTTATTATTATCAAATCAAAGTAAAAGTGTGCACTTACAAGGGCCTATTTATGTCACTGTAGCACTGTTGTTGCTGTGGTTATGAGGAGAATTGCTTGCAGAGCACCCAGCCAGGGTTAGCGTGCCAGTGAGGCAGCCTACAGACACTCAGGGTGGAAAATCAGGGTCACAGCAGTCAACAAAACAACAGCTCAACACATCTGCAGATTTGTAGAGACAGAGAATGATCTGGTTTGCAACCCATGGGCCCAAAAAGTCTTGCTCACCTTATCTGGGACTCTGTGTCTCCCTGTATTCTGCCAGGGAATGTAAACTCAACATCCCCACCCCGAGGTGTTCCCAGTCCCAATGAGACTTGGCATGCTGAGGGAATGGAAGGATGCAGCAGAGACTTGACTACAGGAATGGGTGGGTTTGTGATGAGCTCAATTCGATGGACATGCTGTTAGATCCTCCTGAGCTTTTTGTTGCAAGCAGAGCCAAGTGTTTGGACTTGTTAGCAATTATTAACAAGAAAATCAGTGGGAGATGGGAGAGTGAAAAAGCTGAAAACCCTAGAAAGGAGTTAAAGGAGAGTGACATGGGGTAGAAGACAACATGGGCATTCTCTGTACAGGGACTGTTGTAGAGGAAAGAAATGAAGGGAGAGGAGAGACATTCATGGAACACATGCAAAGCAGCCAAAAAAAAGAGGAAGAGACCTCATGATAAAGTACAATTAAGACCTTTTTACAAATAGTTGGCAGTAATTTTGTTTGGAGTTATATTTTTTGATCAATGATGATCTGTTGATCTAGTTAATTCATCTTGTGTATGTATTTTATTTATAACTGAATGACAGCTTTAAGGCAAAATTTTGACAAAATGCAACACTTGATCCATTGTTTGTTCTGAGAAGGCAAAGGCATACCCAGAAAGAAAAAAAGATCATGGTGAGAGTTTGCTCATTGGTGCTTATTGTTTATTAAATGTTTATTGACATTTAGAGGCAAGCAGAGTCTGAACTTGTAGCATTTGATCTTGGAAATGAGGCATTTGAGCAGTACTTGTATGACAAAGTGATCCACTTCACTCCAAAGTCTTATGCTTAGAACTACAGTGCTGTAACAGGATCTCTAACATTTTCTTGCTATAAATACTGACATAAGGGAACAAAATCATCTGAGTAAGTAGAAGGACCCTCTGAGCATTTGGTAGAACTGCACTGGCTACATTAGAAATTATTTGTTATTCATTATGTGTTCATGATGAATTGTCAAACTTCAACTGTATTTTGTTGCACAGTGATTTGTGCTGAGCCACAGAGACATCTGAATTTCAAATCCCTTCAGAGAGGATGTGTAGTGTTAAGAGACTGACAGACTTTGGGTGGGCATTTGAAGGATATTTTGACTTTAAAGTAACTCATCAAATTAATGCTGGAGTGGAATCCACAAAGATGTCACTATTAAGTACTGCTGTTCCAGCTATCCAACGCTGGGAACACTTGGGAGGGAGATGCAGCAGAAGAGGAAAACAGAAATTATTTTTCAAAGCCAGTTGGCATTTTGAGTTTATTGCTTTCCCCAACAGCCAGGCTGTCGAGGCAGCCTTCCCTCCCCCTGGGGAAAGAGAGCCAGTGCCTTTGTCTCTTGTGCAGTGCCC